AATTGTAGACTAAAACAAAAGCTAAAAGGCGCTACTAAGTAGTAAAAATCCCCACTTATCAACTCCCCCAAACTTAAGCTTTTGCTTGTCCTCAATCAAATAAGGAAATTCCCACCTCCACAAGTTAAGAGCTATTCCAGCTAATATAAGATGCATCAATCACACATCAATTGGGACCCACAATACTTATGAGTTATCAACAAGGTAATGATTTGAATTTTTAAGCACAAATAGTTCTAATGTGACATTTGAGCATTAATAGTTGAATTTATTCATCAAGGAAGCTTGCTCTTTAATGTATGTCATTGTGGATCCAAACTCCTCCTCCCCTACTCTCCGTTAGTATATCTCACTTAAGAATATAACACTCAATTAAAAGTTTCTGAAAAGTTCGCCCATCTCTCTCAAAAGAATGTCACAAGTACGACTCTAAGTACCATATGCGTTCCCCTCATGTAGATCACCACTAATGTAAGTTCACTCGGCTTGAATTCATGTATGGCTTTTTTGGAATGTAATTAAGGCTTTTGGACTAAGGTTGGATATGTTGGAATAGAACGGGTTCATCTTTCCTTAAGCACTCCATTTTCTCATTTCGGCTCATGCTTTGCCGACCCTTTGAGGCATTTCTTTTTCCTTAGGGGAACCAGAGAGACTTAACAACACTCTTTCTTGGTCATGATATTCATTTCCTCCTTCTTTATTTTCTCCATGCCTTGCATCGTTACTTTTCTTTGAATCCCTTCAACTCTTCAACTTATTCACTTTCATTTTGCATTTTTCTTTTTGTTCTTTTCTTTCTTTTTCTTTGCCTTTTCTTTTCTTCATTTCTTTTCTCTTTTTGTTCCTTGATACCTTTTTCAAACTCCTTGTCTCTCCCCCAAACTTATGTTCTATCCAGTTGTTTCTCAAGACTGTTAAGGAAAGCTCGGATGCCAAGAGAGGGTCGCTACAAAACGGGTAAAGACTTGTAACATAGTTATCATATGAGAAAGGTTTTAGGATCAAATGGGCTGACTAGGGATAACAACATTGGTGGGACATGAAAAATTTCAAGCGGGTCAAGGAGAGCCTACAATCACTTCTCAAGCAAGCAAAACTTATAATTTCTCCTAGAAACATATTCGGGGCAAGTTCTAGATCATTCGCACGGGTACTTGGACTTGAAACAAGAACATCTCACCTCTCACACAGTTGGATTATTAAAGAGGATAGAGTCGAGGGCCCAGAACAACCATATTCAAGATTGAAAATCACTAATGGTTCGACTAAACCACTTGATGATTGCCTAAGTCAACACAAGAGTCAGAAGGTCACTAACTAGAGCTATTTCTTTCCAAGAACTTAATTTTAATCATAAGCATGCAGTTAAGTGTGTTGGTACCAAGTGAAGCATGTTTTACTCTTTAAGTTTGATTCAACTAGGTCTTTTTTATTCATTATTACTACTATTCCTACCCAAATACCAAAAACGGACTCAATCTCTTAAGAAGGTTGTCACACCATCCATCGTTGGGAAGAGTCGCCTGGTTTACACAAAGCTACCTTGGGAAAGAATCGTGCCATTAAGAAAACCAAATTCCTATTGTCTACTTAAACATGAAAAGAAACTACTAGATTAAAAAGAAGCTATTAACTTAAACACTGACTACTAAGAAAACAAAATAAGAAGCTATAAAGCAAGCTATTGAAAGAATAAATGAATGTACAAAATGAGAGATGAAAAGAGAAGAAATATATACATCAATAGAGAGAAAGGGAAGAATATATACATAATAAAAAGAAAAAGGAAAATTTTATCAGTTATTACAAACCAAATGTCAAATCATTCAAATATCAAATAAACTTCACCCCCGGAATAAAAATAAGCATTGTCCCCAGTACTTAACAACAATAAGGAAGGGTAAGAGTAAAGAGGACTCCCTATGTGGCCTTGGACATCTCTGTGTCCATAGCATCGTCACTGCCCTCAGGCTCTTCCAACTGGATCTCATCATCCTCGACTCTGGGGGTAGCTGGGTTGGCGAACATCTGTCGCACTGCCTTAGTAGTGTCGGCAGCCAGGTCTGGCTCATTAGACTGGCCAGCTGGTGCCTCTGAAGCTGATGGTGCTGTTGGATCCACTGGTACTGCTGGACCTATCTCCATCAGTAGATCAAATGGAAGGTCACCAGCTGTTGTTATCCTAGATACCTCTTTCCGCAACTTGTCAACTGATTTCTTCGAAGCCTGGGATTTCCTCATCTTCTTCACGTCCTTCCCAAGCTCCTCAATCACTCCTCCATGTTCCACCAAAGTGTCCATGATGGTCTTCTGGTTCTCCAAAATCTTCTTCAATGTGTCCTCTACTGTCGGAGGAATCTGGGGTGTTGGGGTAGATGTCTGTGTTGCAACAACACTAGATGAGTCAGACAACTTTGCAGTACCTATCTGCATCCAGTTGTTGAGGCTCGACAGGGTCTAGGAGACTCGCATCATAGCTAATGGTTGAGCAGGCATAGGCATTATCCTCAAAGTTAAGGTAGAGGGAACTGCTGTTGAAGGCCCTAAAGATGGAGGTAGAGGCATGGCAGTTGTACTGGTAGAAGGCCCTGCTCAGTGGAAGACATGTCAGCTGAATCTGCAGCTACCAATGAAGGCTCATCAGACTAGCCTACGGTAGTAGTCGGCTAACCCTTATTCTTCGGTTCCTCGGGTCCTTCAAAGAGTACCAAGTGAAGGTCTTCTTTGCCCGAGCCTTCATGTCAAAACTCTTCGACTCCACCCCTGCATCTGTAAGGTAGTCATTAATAGTGTTAGGATACGGGTAGAAGATGTCACCTTGCCTTCCAACTAGAGACATGTTGGCCGACGTCATAGCACTCACATTGATTAGGTATGCGGCCATGATGGAAGCAACTAGAACTGCTCGCGGGATTGGGAGATTGGTTTCATTTTGGCAAGGGTCTAGTCAACTACATACTAATGTTTGCCATCCTTTAGCATCAAAATTGAGGGTGTTCTTATGAATAGGAACCCATTCTGTGATCCATGGTGGTGGTGGTCCTGGAGCTACCAAAATCTCATCTAGCCTTGAGCGAGCTGCATAACCTAGTGCGAACTTCTCTAGGTATTGCAACGGCTCCACATCCTCAAACCCCAAATATGCATTCAGGGTGCTCTGATCGAACCTCACTTTCAAATTCCTCACTTTCGGCACCTTGGTCCCCTTCTTTATATGCACCACATTGGCGTACAATTTTCGGACCAAGTGTTCTTTGGCATCCACCACACTTTGAGTGAACCATGTCCACCATTTCCTCTCCCAGAATTGTCTTGACACCGCTGGGTTGTATCTATCCAAATCTTTCAATAAATACTGACACTCAAGAGTGAGCGATCTCTGCGGCCACCACTCTCAAAATCTGTTGAATGTAGTCAGGCTAACAAACCCATCTTCCCAAACTTCTTTCTTCTTCGACCTCTCAAGGCCGGCAACTCTGGTATCACCCCCCTCGGCCAATCCGGGATATCATCCTCATCAATTGTAGTAGCTGGTGCGTCAGAGGCATGTGTAGATGAGGGTCCTTAATCCTGACTGTTACTTTCTGAACCCACAAAAGTGCTCTCTGAGGTAGAAGGCTCATCTCGGAGGTGATATCTCCCCTGAAGCTGTTGTGGCTGTGATTAAGCATCATGCTGCTTTTCCACAGAGTTGCCCTCTGATGCTTCCCTATACGAGATATATGAACTTGATTCAGCGGGCTCTGCAGTTCTACCTCTCCCAGCTATTGCCTTTTTGGATATAACTCTTTGTAAAGCGAGTGGTAAGGTACTTTTGCCTCGGCCTCGGGAGGGTTCACCCCTCCCTTTTGACGTATCACCACGACCACGAGGCCTAACCATATTTTGTAATAAACAACAACAACAACAAGAGTTAGTTCTAGTTTAAGTACAGAATAGCAGACAATTGCAGAACAAAGTATGTTGCAGGTTGGGAAAGTGCGGCCCGCATAATTGCTAGTGCGGCTGCAGTGATGATTCTGCAGTCCACACAATTTTGAGTGCGGCCGCACATCTGAAGTGCGGTCTGCACAATTTTGAGTGCGATCGCACAATGAATACCTCAAAAGTGGCAACTCTCTAACAATAGAGAAAGCCCTGATCTGCGGCCGCTATTGAATTTTTGCGGACTGCATAATTTTAAGTGTGGTTTGCACAATCATGCTAGCGTAAATGCCCTAACCTAACATTCTGCGGGCCGCACATTTCAAAATTCATCGGGTAGAATACTTATGCTTTCTATTTTTTTGCAAAATTTGAACATGGTAGCAACAATTAAACATGATAAGTAGATACCTATTCCCCCTAACAGAAACTAAGAGTTTACTTAACATAATTTACATCCCACATGGATATGAATTTGACAGATGGTCTAAAAATAACTAACAAATTATGAACTAAATTAAGAAATTTGTAAAATTCTAGAGATGATCTGAACATATCAGTGATGAAGTGGTGTTAAGGAAGGATCAAAGATGTTGAATTAAGTATCAGGTTAGTGAATTAGTTGAGTGCACTATTTTTGACTTTGTTTTAATTTCTCAGATTTTGTAAAGTTTCAAAAGTAGAGTGAGGCCTACTATTTATACTTATGGGGTTGGCTAAAAGTTCAAGAGACGAGTGCGACCACAAATTTCCTTCTGAGGTCACACTCTTTTACCTGCTGTACATTTACCCTTTGATGATATGCGGTTCGCAGAATTACGTGTGCGACTGCTGATTTTGGTGCGGGCCACACATTTCCTTGTGTGGCCACACTTTGGCCATTTCTCTACCAGGCAAACTTCAGAGAGTGTACAATTTTTGATCTCATGTTGTGCGGTTTGCACAAGAATTTTGCGGTTGCAGATCCCTTCTTCTGTGGCGTTCAAAATTGTGTGGTCAGTAGAATAAATGTGTGATCTGCACTTTTTCCATACTTAGCCAATTTTTCTGAGCACATTCTCGGTAAAGCACACTCATTCCTGAAACAAACTTCAAAACCAGTTAGCACAAAATAAGACCTATCTAAAGAAGAAGAAAAAGAAAAAGAAACATGAGTTGCCTCCCAAAAAGCGCCTGATTTAAGGTCGCGACACGACACAAATTACCATCACTTGAAATGAATTACCGCCACGATGTGCACATCACCAACTCTTATAAGGTAATGCTTCAACCAGTCACCATTGACTCTAAACACTTCATTATTTTTATTCTTCAGGTCCAATGCACCAAAGAGTTTCACACTCACAACCTCGAACGGGCCACTCCATTTAGACTTTAACTTTCTGGGAAACATTCGCAACCGCGAATTGAACACAAGATCACCCTCTTTAAGCTCTTTGTTCCATATGTACTTTTCATGAAGATATTTCATCTTCTCTTTGTATAAGGAAGAACTTGTGTATGCATGGTATCGGAATTCATCCAACTCGCTCAAATGTGTCATCCTTAAGTTGGCGGCAACAAACCACTCAAGATTCAATTTCTTTAAAGCCCACATTGCTTTATTCTCAAGTTCCATTGGAAGATGACAAGCTTTTCCAAAGACCAACTAGTATGGAGACATTCCGATAGGTGTTTTGTAAGTCGTCCTATAAGCCCATAAAGCATCATCAAGTTTCTTGACCAATTAGTGCGGTTAACATTCACTGTTTTGGACAAAATACTCTTTGTCTCCTGGTTGGAGACTTCCACTTGACCGTTTTCTTGTGGATGATAGGGAGTCGTGACTTTATGAGTAACACCATACTTGGTGAGGAAGGTATCAAAAGCTTTGTTGCAAAAATGCGATCCCCCATCACTTATGATAGGCCTTGAAGTATCAAATCTTGTAAAAATGTTCTTCTTCAAAAACACCACCAGACTTCTCGCTTAATTGTTTGGCAAAGTAATGGTCTCAAACTATTTGGACACATAATCAATCGCGACCAAGATGTAGGTGTTTCCACAAGAACTCACAAAAGGACCTATAAAGTCAATACCCCACACATCGAAAATATCAATCTCTAAAATGGTGGTGAGGGGAATTTCATTTTTCTTTGAGATTCCACCGGCCCTTTGATACTCATCACAATACTTGACGAGATCACTTGCATCCTTGTAAAGAGTGGGCCAATAGAAACCGCAACTCAAAACTTTGGCCGCCGTTCTTGCCCCACCATGGTGACCACCATATGGTGAAGAATGACAAGCCCCAAGAATTTCACCTTGTTCCTTCTCTGGTACACATCTTCTAATCACTCCATCTATACAAATTCAGAAAAGGTACGGTTCATCCTAATAATAGTCTTGGCAATCCCGTTTGAGTTTCTTCCTTTTGTTTGAAGAGAACTCAACTGGAATGATACCACTCACAAGATAATTTGCTAGATCCGCGAACCAAGGAACCTCTTTCATAGCAATAGCCAAAAGTTGCTCATCGGGGAGGACGGGGAAGGAGTCATTGATTTCAAGGCCATCATGCGGCCTCCCCTCCTCCTCCAAATGAGATAAGTGGTTCGCCACTTGGTCTTCACTTCCTTTTCGATCTTGGATGTATATATCAAAGTCTTGCAACAAAAGTACCCATCTCATCAACCAGGCTTTGGAATCTTTCTTTCTCATAATATAGCAAAGTGTCGCATGATCCGTATGGAAAATGACTTTTGCACCCATCAAATAGGGGCGGAGTTTCTCCATTGCAAAGACAATGGCAAGGTGCTCATTATTCGTAACTGTGTAGTTGACTTGGGCACTATTCATAGTCTTACTAGCATAGTAACTGGATGAAAAATCTTGTTGATGCATTGCCCCAAAATAGCCCCTACTGCTACATCACTTGCATCGCACATGAGCTCAAAAGGAACACTCTAATTTGGAGCGGTGATTGTGGGAGTAGTAGTCAACTTGAAATTAAGCAATTCAAAGGCTCTCATGCAATCATCATTTAAGTGGAACTTAGCATATTTCTCCAAAAGCTTGCACAACAGATTCACTACTTTATCGAAGTCCTTGATGAAACGCTAGTAAAATCCCGCGTGGCCTAGGAAACTCCGCATACCTTTCACCGAAGTTGGAGGTGGAAGTTTAGAAATCACCTCAATCTTTGCCTTGTCAACTTAAATTCCATAATTTGAGATCTTGTGGCCAAGGATAATGCCTTCCCCGACCATGAAATGACATTTCTCCCAATTGAGAACCAAGTTTGTTTCTTCATAGCTTGCCAACACTTTGTCCAAGTTTGCTAGACAATCATCAAAAGAATTCCCAACCACTGAGAAGTTATCCATGAAGAATTCAAGGTAATCCTACACCATGTCCGTGAAGATCTCCATCATACACCGTTGATAAGCCGCCGGTACATTGCACAACCCAAATGGCATCCACTTGACGACAAACTGCCACAAGGACATGTAAAAGTAGTCTTCTCTTGATCCTCTGGAGCAATAAGAATTTGTTGTAGCCGGAATACCCATCAAGGAAATAATAGAAAGCAAGACCGCCCAATATATCAAGCATTTGATCTAGGAAGGGAAGTAGGAAATGGTCCTTCCTTGTGACTTTGTTGAGATTACGATAGTCCATACACACTCTCCATCTGGCCACCGTTCTTGTAGGAATCAACTCATTCTTATCACTGGTGCCCACCGTCATGTCCCCTTTCTTTGGGACACATTGAACTGGAGAAGTCCACGAACTATCGGAAATGGGGTAAACAACCCCGGTATCCAACCACTTGATGATCTCCTTTTTGACAACCTCTTGCATGGCTTCGTTGAGTCTCCTTTGATGTTCAATTGATGGTTTAGCATCTTCCTCCAAGTTAATCTCGTGCATGCAAAAGTGGGGTTTATCCCCCCGAATATCCGCCAATGTCTATCCAATAGCCTTCTTCTTTTGTAGCACTGCCAATATAGAATCTACCTGCACGTTAGTCAAACAAGAATAATCGGTAAAGTAGAAGAAGGGCCAAGAAACTCATACCGAAGATGTGGAGGCAATGGCTTTAACTCCAAGATGTGAGGATCCTCGATTGAGGGATTTGTTGGAGGAGTTGTCCTATTTTCAAGATCCAAGGACAATTTGCAGGGCTCATAAGTGTACGCTCCCATTCCTTGCAACGAGTTCACACATTATGAAGCCATCTATATCGTCATCATCAAAGTTGAGCAAGATGTCCTCCAATGTATCATCAACATTCATCACATCAATTGTTTCATCTACAATCACATCGGTCACCAAGTCCACGAAAGAACACACCTCTTTGTTATTGGGTTGCCGCATGGACTTACATATACAGAAGACCACTTTTTCATCACCAACCTGTAAGGTAAGTTCTCCAACTTCAACATCAACTAGAGCCTTCCCCGTAGCAAGGAAAGGTCTATAAAGAATATCGGCACCTCATAATCAACTTTACAATCAAGAATGAAAAAATCCGTCGGAAGAATGAATTTATCAACACGAAACCAATACATCTTCAATCACTCCCAATGGTATCTTCATGGTACGATCAGCCATTTGTAATCTCATAGATGTGGATCTTGGTTGCCCAATTCCCAAAGTCTTGAAAACCGAATAAGACATCAAATTGATACTTGTCCCAAGATCACAAAGAGCTTTTGCAAACTCGGCACTTCCAATTGTATAAGGAATCGTGAAAGCGCTGGGATCCTCCAACTTGGGATCCATTGAATACACAATTGCACTTACTTGATGAGTCATTTTTATAGTTTCAAAATTCATCAATCACTTCTTTGTCATCAAATCCTTCATAAACTTTGCATAATCGAGCATTTGATCCAAGGCGTCAACCAATGGCACATTGATGGATAGACTCTTCATCATGTCAATGAACTTTTGAATTGATTCTCACCATTTTTCTTGGCAAGCCTTTGAGGATATGGAGGAGGAGGCCTAGGCATTGGTGCCTTAGCCTTTTGCACTACTGGTTTTAGTATGTCAACAATGTGATCCCTAGATGAGATCACTTTCTCTTAAGTCTCCTCCATATTGTCATCAATATCAATCCACACTTCATCATTTGTTTGCACCGCATTATCCGGGCTCTCATATTCTTGTACCGCTAGCTCATCATTCACAAGTTTCCTTTGATTTGAGGTGGGTGGATCCCCACCTTTTCCACTCCTTGTAGTAATGGCCATGGCATGCCCCGTGTTGTTCCCACCCTTTGGGTTCACCACCATGTCACTTGGTAGTGCTCCCTTAGGACGAGTGTTGAGGGCTTGAGAGAATTGACCCATTTGGACTTCTAAGTTTCGGATGGATGCATTGTGAGAGGCAAGTTGGGCATCAGAATCGGCATTCTTCTCCATCATTTGTTTAAACATGTTCTAAATTCGTCCCATCTCATTGTTGGAATAACTTGGACCATGGGAAGGATAAGGAGGCGGGTTGCTTGGTTGTTGATACATCAGGGGCCTTTGAAAACTCGACCCTCGATTGCCTTGATTATTGTTCCACCCCCTTGGTTGTTGCCTCCCCAATATCCTTGGTTGTTTCCACTCCAATTGCCTTGGTTATTTCCACTATTCCAATTCCCTTGGTTGTTACCACCATTCCAATTACCTTGGTTGTTAGAATTCCAATTACCTTGAGGTCGCCATTGTTGTTGATTCGGGCCTTGAGAGTTGTTTCTTTGCCCTTGAAAGTTGTTCACGTATTGCACTTCCTCCTCTTGTTCATTGTAAGATTCATCTTGATCAAACCCGCTCTCTTCTTGTACATAGTTCTCCACACGGTTTTGCACTTCTAGACCCTTTTGCCTTCTTTTGTTCACCATCATATTAACTCCCTCCATGGCATTGACTTGCTTAGGATTTTGCATTTGTTGAAGTTAAGCTTTGGCTAATTGATTCATTGTGGTAGTTAACTCGGCAATGGCTTGCCCATGATCATGCAATTCTTTATATAGGTGAATCATATTCGGATCACTTTGAGGAACATTTGCTCTACTTTGCCATGCCGATGAAATATGCACTATTTCATCTAAACTCTCACAAGCTTTTGCATACGGTGTTATCATGAAATTTCCACCGGCAAGTTAGTTGACCATGCATTGATTGGTAGTGTTGATCTCCCGATAGAAAGTTTGTTGAATAATAGCCTCCGTCATGTCATTATTGGGATACTCTTTGACCATTTTACGGTACCTCTCCCATATTTCGTGCAATGGCTCATTGGGTTCTTGTTTGAATGCAAGAATCTCGTCCCGAAGAGTAGCCATATACCCAGGAGAAAAGAACTTGGAAATAAATTTCTCCGCCAATTCATCCCATGTATGGATGGAATGGTTTGGCAATCTCTCTAACCAATTCAAGGCCTTCCCTTGTATAAAGAAAGGAAATAGCCTCAACCTTAAAGCATCATCGGAGACGTTTGTCTGTTTACTTCCCCAACAAGTGTCCACAAACCCCTTCAAGTGTTCGTATGCATTTTGACTCGGAGCCCAGGTGAAGAATCACTGTTGCTCTAGCAATGTGAGCATTACATTCGTGATTTGAAAGTTGCCCACCCTAATAG